TCTGGAAGTTAGCTCAAACATCAAAAATGCTGGATCCGCCCCTGATATGCGTAGCCACATATTAGTTAAAAAACAAAATGAGTAAAATAAATATGTATTTAAATTGTTATAAAGAAATGTGAAAATACTTTTTATATTTTTAATAGTTTTATTCACAAATATATACATTTAAAAACTTTTCATAAAATAATAACTCTCAAAAATATTAATAACAAAATCGGCAGAAATTTTTTTTTTTTAAAAGGCTAATAAAGTTGTAAACCGCGTGATGTCATGGAATATTCTTGAGTTTTTTACAATTTTATAATTTAAAACAATATATGAAAATGTAAATATATATAAACGTATATAAAATACTATACTAAACAATTTTTGAATAAAGGGTATATTTTTCAAAACATAGAAGATTCGCAGAAGATTGAAAGAAGATTAATACAGAAACTAGGTACTAGGTAGGTTGATTACAGGATATTGGTCTATGCGTATGTTCCATTTGCTCTATTGCAAAAGAAAAAAAAAGTCATCGAAAAATCAATCTTTCTAAATTTATTGAAAATTTTTACCAAAAAGCCTGAGCGCTCAGATGTGAATAATGCATCTTTTAGCACACATTGTTGCCAAAAGGGTAGATAAAGGTATCCGACATGACAAATCTACATGAGCTTATTTTTTATATATTTCTTTAAGATATGTATAAAACATCTGACAATAAAGAATTAATTGTAGCAACAGGTAAATTTGCATTTATATTTCTCGATCTATCTACATTTACTATTAATTTCATTAAATACGTTTACATTTAAGTCAAACATTAACGAATAGAACATTTGTCTTAGGAAATATATCTTTTGTAGGTTGTAAAGCTTTTCAATTTGCTCTCTACTCTGGAAATGTGCATAAACCTATTTTAGAAATATCTTCAGTTACATTATTTACTACAAAAAAGAAAGTGGATCTTTCCATTTCAACTATTGGTATAATGACTGAGATACGTAAAGATTTGGGTCTTAGAGATAACAGTAATATACATGAACTTAATTTTGCATATATTCATATTACTTATATATTTATAAATTGTTCTTGAATTTTATGCTTAGTATTAAACCTAATGGCTCAAAAAGTATTAAGGACAAATCTTTCCAGTTAAATCAATTTTATGAAGTAGTTTTGTGCAGTTTTTAACAAACACACAACAATAGAAACAGCTAGATAATAGATACAATTCAGAAAGATGTTGTATTTGTTCCTGAACCGTGGGGACTAATAAAAGAAATTTGTAAACACAGAAAACTTAATCCCTAAAATTGTCTTATAAGAATTAGTATTGATGGGGGTCAAAGTTCACTGAAAGTTATAATGAACATCTTTAACCCAGAAGAGTTACAATTAGAGAAGAGAAACATAAAAAATACAGTGGTCAATACAGTTCTTATTTTGACTCTTGTACATGGAGTGCAAGGAAGTAACTGTAACTTGGAGAGGCTCAATAAGTTACTTAAGCTAAATGACCTAAAATACACCGTAGCAGCTGACCTGAAGCTTATTAATTGTTTACTGGGCATTTTTGTCAGTTAAACATAAGTTATTTTGTGATAATTTATAAAAAGCAATCACTTTTTATAAATTATCATGCATTTAGCATGATAATTTATAAAAAGTGATTGCTTTTTATTATTTTATCAATATCTAACTTTATATTTATAGCCTTTTTTAAAACTAACAGTTTAAGGTACACGAGGGAAAGTATGCTTGCTGTTACTGCGAAGGAGAATTTGAAGACAAAAATGGAAAGTTGAGACATTTTTAAAGTTTGACTAATTGGTATCAAAATTTATTGAGGATGGTGAACTTTATAAGCACATGAGAAACCATAAAAATGTTGTTCGACCATGTCTAGTTGAGGAGTCTGGAGAAACTCTTGTTAATGATATAGTTCCGCCATCTGAACTACACCACTACATTTGTTTGAATATATTGTTTCCCAAATAACAGATGTTCTGATGGCTGAGGACTCAACTAAAAAGTTCTTAATTAGTAAAACTGTAACAAGGCACGGTTACAATGGAAGGGGATTTGATGGACCTTAGTGTTTAAAAGTATTTTCATGATTGGATAACCTCATAACTGCTGCTCCTCTCCTGATGATATATTGTACTGAGAAAATTAAAAAAGGGTATGTAATTAGTTAATTCTTTTTCAGTTATAGTTTATATTATATTTAAAAGTATTTGTATTCCTTTTATTGACAGAAGGATATTTTGGATTGAAGCTTTCTCTTGAATTCAGCAGAGATAATCAGGTTTTTTTCTCAGAGATGTGCCACTTGCATCAGTTTCTGATAGAATACACAACACACAAGATCTGTCTGGGTTGGAAATTTCACATCAAATAGTCACATTTCTAGAAAGAAAAAACAAACCCTTGGGAATTTTCAGTGAGTAAAGTTATGAAGTTTTTCACAAAAATATTAACGGACAATTAAAAGATTTGCAGCTTCAGAGCTGAGCATAAAGAAAAGCCTCGTAAAACAGTCGTAACATACTCTAGTATGAAGATGTGAAGAATTTAATATATAGTAAAAAATATTTCACTATTGTAAAACAAAAAAACAATCATAAATAAAAATTTTTTGTAAAAATTAATACTTTGTATTTGTCTCATGTTGTTTCATTCTAGATACTCCAAGTTTTTAGATAGTTGAAACAGGGATTCTGTGTTTTTTGGTGTTAGAGAAAACTAACAGACATAAGATAAACTTAAAACATTTATATGTTTATCTTTATGTCAAATAAAGATGTATTGCAAAATATTGAGATGATTGGAGCCTGGGAACAAAAATAATCTAAAATTTTTTCTCCCCCCGCCTTTCTGCCCCAAACGTGAGAGTAACATATAAATGTTTGAAGTTTACTCGATATTTGGAAGTTTGTATCTAACTTTAGACCATCAAAAAGCGTTTTCTGATTATAAATTGCCGTAGCAACGCTCTCTGAAATTCAAAATAGTATACATAACAAAAAAAATTATATGTAATCACTGAGATAATCACTAATCACCTGACTGAGATTGAGACTAACTTAAAACTTTATAGTTTTCAAATAAACTGGGGCAGCCCGAGGTACAAGGAGGCCCTAGGCATTCAAACTTCCCCTAAATTTAAAGATAACATTAGTTTAATTTGCTTATTACAATGAATGAATAAAACTAAATAATATTCTTCATGTTATAACATGAACGCTATAGCGTTTATGATATTTGTTTTTTTAGCTTTTTTTTTTCTGTAAATTTTCGTTTTTTATTTTATTATTATAATTTTTTTTGTAATAACTTCCGTCACGAAAATAGCAAGACCTGATAGGGCCTGATGCAAAACTCATATTTATGTTGATTTCAGAACAAAAAGCAAAAAATATTAGAATAATGAATAAGTATTGTGGAAAATACATACGATTGTCTTTTCGTCAGAAGCAAACGTCTTAGTCACTTTTTCTTTGCTACGCCACTTTATAAACTTAAACTTTTATTATTTTACGTTGTCAATATAAATTTATAAATTGGTGAATCAGTTTTCTAGAATAAACAATTAACATAATATCATCTTAATAACAATTAATTTGTCAGATTATATTGCTTAAATTATTTTAGGCAGGACAGAGTATCTTTGGAAATTTCATCGTGCTAAATTGAAGTGACGTTTTATGACGTAAAAAGTATATATTTTTTTAAGCATAAACAATTTTTTAAGACTCACAAAAAAGTACTTTTGCAACCAAAAATTAATGCAATTTAATTTTATTATATTTAACAAAATTTTACGTTTTTTTTGATAATACATAGTGAAAATGATATTTTTAAAAGGATATACTACGCTCTGTTAAACGAGTTTTAGTAATTTTAGAAAATTTAGTATTTTTTAAAGTAAATTTTTCAGTTATTAAAATTTTTCTGGTTTAAAAAAGCAACTGGAACCTTATTATCGGTTCTCTTACGAAGAAGATCATACAAACGATTTGTTTAAATTGCGGAAATCTCATTTTTAAATGCGGATGTCGAGCTTTTTTGATAAGGTTATGTTTTTTAATTGTTCTGTATTTTACAGACCTTAAATCCGTTTAACATTTAGTATAATATATAATTAGTTGCCAACCAACAGAAACTTTAATGTATATAAACCGACCTTTAAAGGCGTTTAGTTTTTCTAACGGATGAAAATCAAAAACCCATATAATTTTAATAATGAATTAAATGAAAGTATTAGACGACATTTCTTAAGGTAAAATCTCTGTTATGAAAAAAAGATATATAGAAAATAGTAATAACTAGAAATAAATAAAAAAACTCGCCAGAAAAAATTATCCTTATTTGAATCACAATGTTTATTTCTTGAACTTAATTATGCTAATATCAGATCTATCTTTATTTTGAAAAAGATGTTTTAACTTTGACTGCGTTACGAAACTTAATTATCCTTTTCAAAATAAAAAACCGAAACTATTTGAAACTAATATCATTTTTATCATGCTTATTTTTGGCTTTGATATATATATATATATATATATATATATATATATATATATATATATATATATATATATATATATATATATATATATATATATATATATATATATATATATATATATATATATATATATATATATATATATATAAATGTTTTGGTATTTCAGAGAGAAAAGGTGTATTGTTTCTCTGCAAAAAGAAAAACCGCGTCTTGCAAAAACAATCCTTTTGTTAAACAAACAATTCTTTTTGTAAAAAAATTACAAAAGAATTTCAAACTGTCGTGCCGGAAATCAAAGATTTGTTTGTTGAGTAAAAGTTTTTAAACAGAAATTGTCAGCTTTTATGATTCAACAAATAAAAGTATTTAAAAAAAAAGTTGTAAATACAAAATACATATATAAATGTATAATCTAAATAAATAAATACGACTTAAAATATAAACTTCAGATTATAATTATTTCAAGAATATGACAAAAAAATACAAACAAGATATCAAACAAGTATGAAAAAGATATTTAACAGTAAAATTAAAATCTAGAAGGAAATTGTACTACTGAACAGTAAGAATGTTAGACGAAGAAAATGGTGTCTTTTTAAGTTCGCACTATTAAAATGAAAAGTTTAATGAAACGACATCATGGAAACACAGCTAATATTAAAGTTATATTCTCCAACGTATGTTCACAAAGATGGTCTCCTACACAGATTTGAAAAAATCTTGCTTTTTTTCTCATTCCGGTTAAACACTTTTATAAAAGAGATCTCCAAAAAATTATTTTTTGTTAACTATTCAGTACAAAACGATGACAAACGAGTAAGCTTATTATATACCACGGTAAACGTGAAATAATTCACATACCATTTTAAATAAGAACAAGAAACACTTTCTTTAACAAGATTATATACATGTTATCTTAAAAAGATTATCTGAATGTTATCATATAAAAATGCGGTAAAAAGCTTTAAAAATTTCATTTACGTTAACAGCTTGACAGCATGTAAAAAAAAGTTGTTCAAACTAACGTCATTTTTGTAACATCATATTTGAATATCAAAAGTGTTGTAACTAGTTTTTTTATTTTTTACTTTTTATATAAAAAAAAGTGAAGTATTGTGTAAATTTTGTAAAATGCATTATTCAAAATAAACCAATCCAATTGCAAGAGAGATGAATACTCAAAGAATAGCTTTTAGATATAGGAGATAAAGTAAGAAAAAAAAGAAAAGCATTTATACTAATGTTGATAGATCAATAATAGGATATAAGTTGCGTTGAAAATTTTTTAACAGTATAAACGTTAATGGGACAGTTGTTGACAAATCTGTTTGAAAATGAAAAAGATGTAACAATAGAACTAAATTCCGTTGGTATTTTTGGCGGGAACGTAACAATATCAGAGGATGGTGAATACGCAGTTATTAATTTTGAAGGAAAAAAGAGAGAATACAAGATCGACAGAGTGAAGATCAGAAACAGTCGTGATTTTAGCGATAAAATAAGAAACAGCAAAGATCTATCAGACATAGTAAAAACACTCGAGGACTTACACGTGTTTAACGAAAAAAAAACTATTATCAATAAAGATGACTGTATAGATAATGCAGAAGATAAGAAAAAATATATTCCGGAATTTAACAAAAAAAATTCTGATATTGGAATTTCAAGTTACAAGCCGATTCTCGGTACCTTATACAACCAAGTTGGGTTTCAAAACCAACCTGTTTTACAAAATACAAAACCTTTCTGTATTAAAGACGACCCAAACAACAATTTAATCAGTGAAATTAAAGAAGAAAACTTTGATGATAAAAGTCTTGCTGCGACTAAGTTATTATATGATAAATTATTAAATGAGTTTTTGCGCAAAAACGGCAAAAAAACGAAAACAAACCAGTCAAAATATAACAAAATAACATGCAACAGTAATACTAAAGTTCTGGGAAATCTTAACGGAAAAATATCCGAAGTTTTAAATGATAACCAAACCAGTAGCGAGAATACTTTTTTTCTATCTGAAACTTTTGATTTAGCAGAAAGCTCTAAAAAATTATTAGAAGACGAAATAAAACTCAAACAAGCTGATTTTAATTTCATCGATAAAAATAAAGAAAAACTATGCTCTTCTTCGCAATGTTTTCATAACAAAACAGGCAGCAAATACCAAGAAAACTATCAGCGTAACTTGTGCGACAAAGTTGTAAAATATGAACAGGATGAAAAGGAAATGTTTATACCAAACGATAATGCCACAATCGTAGACCCTCTTGATTTTGAAACAAAGCTTGAACAGCCAATAGCTCATGATTTAGAGAAAGAACATGACTCGTCTGTTGAAAATCATAATGGTGAGACTTTTACACGCAAGCAATGCGAAATAAAACAAGAAAATCTATCTCCTGAAGGTTCTCACAGTTTTAATGAAAGTGTTTTTTACCCGAGAGAAACGTTAAATACAGTCAATAAAAATTGCACTATGCAGTTCAAACCCAAGTTTGCATATAATCAGTCAGATAGCTTATTTTTTGAAATAAATAGAAGCGCATCAGATGGTTTCATTTATTTTTTAAAAGCTAGCGAACTCCGAAAAGAACTGAACGAAGAAAAAAAAAGTGTATTTAAAAAGATGACAAAGAAAGTGAAATGGGATAAAAAGAAAAAAACATATAAGGTTTGTTATTACAATGTTTTTAACAATAACAACTATAATAATAATATTAACTACAATAAATTCAAACTTTGAACACTTTAAAACCCCATTTATTTATCATATTTTAACCGCAATTATTTATCATGCTTTTTGTTTTTTAAAAATTTTTCGAAAGCAAACTGGAAACTAGTGCAAGTGCAAACGTAGTTTCTGGATTAGGCTTCGTTTTTTGCTTGTTAAACAGGTTTCTCTTTATTTACAAAAGCCTGTCCAGAAAATTCAACATGTATAATGATAAATGTTAAATTTCGAATGAGATTAGCGTAAGTTACCTGACATTAGTAAATTGACGTAAATAAACTGATGTTTGTACGCTTAATAAGTTTTCAACCGTTAAACACCCAAGTTTGCAGTGCGTATGCGCAAATCAATAAAAACAAAATTTAAACTGTATCATACTGAAAATGATTTTTTTTAAACAATAATTGCGTTATAAATTTTTTTTTTTGAATTAATATTGTTTACCGAAATAAATATGATATATTTCTTAATAACTGCCTAAGAAAATTTTTCAGGAATTTTTCACTATTTCAATAAATAAGCACAAAACTTGTTTAATCTAAATAATAATTATAAGTTTTTAAAATAAGAATAATTAATAAGTTCATTTTTTTTACAATATTTTTAGAGTCAAAGTTATTTAACTTTCTGAATCGTCATTTATTTTTGCGTCAATTCAAGTAAGAAGTAACTAATTTTTCTTTCTTTAGGGCTCGTTTTGTGAATTAAATATCTAAACAAATAATTTTTTTTAAAAAATGAGCATAAAACATTAAGAAATAAATATATAATTAAATAGTTTAAATTTTTGGTTCGATGTTATTCAAATTAAAAATTTAAACCAAATTTTCGCGCGTGCAAAAATCTGAATGGGTGAAAACTTTTTAAAAAATTTTAAAAATAAATTCGTAAAATAATCACGTAAGCATGCTTCGGACAAGTTAAAACTTTTACAACGCAAGCCCACGAGATTATTTTTCCCTTTCTTACCCGTACCCGTTCCCGTAAAAAAAAAAACAGATGAGTGGAAACTCACCTTAAAGCGATATCTAAAAGCAAAAACTGACCTTGACAAGGTCCTTGTAACAAACGATTGTAAGTGTAAATATATGTAGAAAGTAATAGCGAATAAGTTTTAATTGTAAGCAGTAGTAAATAATTAAAATTAATAAAATAGTTACAGAAATAATTTAGCATAATCACAGAACATATTTCAGCACACTTTAATAAATTCAAATAATATTTGTGCTTTTGTTAAATTTAGTTCACGTTTAACTTAAACGTGAAAAAGTGTTCAGTTTCATACGAGTAAGGTGGTGGTTTGGTTCTCCCTCTGTCCATCCGATACGCCAGGTTGTTAAAGTTTAACATAAATTTGTAGCCCACTCTTACACCTATCTTTTGACGCCAAGATATTTGTATTTTGATAAGAATTGACAAAGTTATGACAATTTAAGTGAAGAAAAACATAATTTTGACAACAGTTTCTTCAACAAATACATACATCGGAAAATCAGAATTTAAACCGTCATAACTTTTGAACAAATTGTTCGATTTTGATATTTTTTTCACCTTTAAAATACTGTATAGATCCTCTTTCCAATGAATTATAACATAGTATTTAAGCAATTTGAAATTTTTATTTACATACCTAGTTTAAGCCAGTTTTTTCAAACAAAAACACTTATGTCATGCGCTCTTAAAGCAGTTTGCATATTCGCAACCATGAGTTTAGTTTGGTTTTTAATTTATTTATTTTTGATAATTATTATAACAATAAAAATATTTTTTGCAGGTAAAAAATACATATCTCAGTTACTCAGATGGTAATTTCGACCTTACTCAAAATGGTGTTCAATTTATACATCTCGATAACTATCTGCAAAATAAACAAAAAGCCTTGCATGAAAATGAGTTTTCTGCAAAATTTAAAAGCGAATCAACAGAAAGGAATCACTCCACGGATTTTGAAGATGAACTTACCAAAACAAATCATTCAACAGAATTTGTTTGTCAAGAAAAGTGTTTTCAAGATGAACAGACAGCTTCAGGTTATTTTATGAATGTCTCATCTTTCAACCAAAATAATTTAAACGACAAGTTAATAACGTTTAACACAACAATTGATAAAAAGGAAGAGATTACTGAAAATTACGAAAATTCTTGTAAACAACAGGTTTTGTTTGAATCTACCGTGATTGAAGACAACCATGATGAATTTATAGCACCTGTTTTTGTAAAGGTCGATGAAGTTTTCAGTAATGTCACTGCAATAAATGATTCAGTGAACAACACAAACTCTGATAACATAGAATTGAAATCTAATTTTAGTATGATAGCTGACAGTATAAAGACAAATAATTCTAGTAAAATATCTCACAGTATAGATACAAATAATTTCTTTGTGGGAAATATTATGGAGGAAAAGCATAATGATTTTATTATTGAAAGTAAAGATTTCAAAATTGAAGATTTAAATAAAGAAAAGCTTTGTGAAACATTTCAAAAATGTGGATCATCTTTAAACAAATTAGTTCTCAGCCCATCAGAAATCTCCTATTTGAAAGCTCCTATCATTATTACCGAGCTTAAAAATGTTAAATCTAATTCTGACGACATTAATCAATACAATAATTTTGACATGCACAATTTAGTACCAATAGGTAAGAGCTTTTTTTTTAATTTTATTAAACTTACTTTATGAACTATAGTTCTTGGTCTGCATATTGCTTCAAAGTTTTGTGATTTCAATCAAATCAAATCAAAAAAGTGATTTCTAACAACATCAACAACATTTCCAAATACATTCCCAACATACATTTCAACAACATTTTCAACAATATTTTCATTTAGACATAACAGTCTACTATTTTTTCAAATATTATCACACCTATATATATATATATATATATATATATTATTGAAAACCTTATTAAGTTTATAAATAAGTTTTTAAATTAATGATTATTAATTGTCATTTATTATTAGTCCCAGATAATGAATGTATTAAATATTTATCATTAGATTATTTTTTTACATGTAACAACTCTTCCGACATCAGTTCTTATAAACCTATTAAAAGTATACTTTATAATAGTGTTGATTAAAAGTAAACTTTTAAGTATGGATAGGGTAAAATGATATAGCTTTGAAGCTATATATCAGCTTAATTGGTTAAAATTTACTTTAAGCTGTTCTCGTTTCTCCAAAAGTAAAAAAACTAAAATAAAAGCGTGCTGTTAAGTTGATTCCCCCTCTACCTTAAAAAAAAGAAAAAGAGTTTTTTTTTCTGACAAAAAAATAATAAGAGTTGCATACCATATAACTATTTTATAAAACATCATTAAATAAATAAGCCAACTAAAAAAAGTCCCAGCCGGCAAAAACTCCATATGCATGGTTTCTGTTGCGTGTTTAAAACTCCTTAAAACATAAAAAATAACACGTTCAAGAATAGGGTTTCATTTCCGTGAACTTAAATATTACTATTCAATTAGGATATCAAGTTTATATTAATAATTTTATTGTTACAGAAACGTAGTAAAACATGCTATGTTTCCATAAACAATGTTGTCAGTCGGTCATGATAATAATGTCATCATAATGTTGGTTGTGAATGAAACCAGTCATAAAAGAACGCAACATTTAAATTCGACTTTAAAACCTCATAAATCACGTGTTAAATGTTAAATCAAAATAAATTGGCAAATCTAGTTTTACTTTCAGAATTAAAATTGGTATACGGTTTTTACCGGCTGGAGATTTTATTTACAAATATTTATGTGATCCAATTTTACATTCAAAATAAGGCAGACAAAATTTAAATAAATCGATATTCTTTTTTAGATTCTGGTCTTATTGATGAAACATCTGATCCATTGGTTGTATTAAATCAATCATACGAAAGTGAAATTAGGTTTGCTGAAATAAAGAATAATTCTTCAGATGACACATTTGAGAGACAAACATCAAAAATCAATAGTCAAAAATCAAACAAAGAAGTTTTAAAACCAACAGAAGAAACTGTGTCCTTTACGTCATTTCAAAATGAATCATCTGATTTGATTTCAGCTTCAGTATTTATTCAACCCGATTTCGTAAACCCAGAAGTTAATCTTTTTAAAGATAAAGATTTTTCTAAAAAAGCTGAATCTTTAATTATTGATGAGTTATCTTTACTACCAGTATTAGATACAAAAAATGAAAAAACAAACAAAAGTACAGAAAAAAAGAAGATTATTGTTGATTTGAAACCAGAAAAAAGTAAAACAACCAAATTACTGAATGATTCTAGCAACAAAACAATTGAAAAAGCGAAACAACTCATTTCAAAAAGATCTGAATCTTTTAAATTTAAGGCTGATTACAATCTTACACGAAACAGCATAAACATAATAGAATCAATTGAGAGAGAAATTGAACAAGAAAAATATCAGGATCCTTCTCGACCTAACCCCATTATGAAACGCAACACTGTTAACTTTTATGCAAATGAAGACTCTATTGCAGTTAACAACATTGCCCCTCGTTCTATTAATGTTTATAATAAATGTTTTAGCACTGGACAAATTAACGAATCACATAAAGGTATGAATAAAATTCTTGTAGAGGCTCGAAAAAATCTGCTCCCAATAGCAAAAAGTACAAGTTGCACTAAGTCTGAGCGTAATTTTCATTCAACAAAAAGTCATCAACAATACCAAATGAACATTAAAGAACCTCAAAGTCAGTTTTTAATTCCAATAAATAATAAACCACACGATTTAGAAACTGATATTGATGAAATTGACGATGAAGAACTACTGATAGCTTTGCACAGGTAATTTTTTGCTTTTTTATTTAATAAATTAATATTCAATGAGGTGACTATGGCCCGACATTAAAACATACTCTAAAATTTTTAAAAGTTAAAAAATATTTTTAAAGTTGACTTGAAAAAAACTCAAAAATGTTAGATTTGGCACAATTAAGTTGAATTACATTTTTTGAGTTGGGCTAAAATCGCTACGCAATGTCAGGGTCACGTTTATTTTACCTTGCTTTTTTAATGCCTATTACACAAGTTAATCACATCAGCCAATGGTTTTAGTAAGATATAAAATATGGAGGCTATAGCGTCTCCAAAACTAATCACTCTTATGTTGCCTATTTCACGTTACCAATGTCACTTTGCATTTATACATCGTTTATATATCTATATGTCGGCGACAAAGAGACACTTAAACTCAGCTAGAACACATTGATTAGGTTGAGTATGTAAAACCAATGCCAATTTTGGGAGAAATTATTTGTTTGTTTTTTAGAGTTGATAATCTAATAGTTAATAAGTGTTCACTGTGTATGTCATAATATTCTTTAAATATAAAAAATAGTTTTAATAATAAAAATGAGTAAGATTTACTTTTTTTATATTTCTAATAAATTTTTATTGTTAACTGTTTATTATTAATAACAACAGTGTTAACTAAAAAAATGTTAAATATATGTTTGATCAGCAAAAAAGTGTTAAATATATACTTTGATCAGTTTTAGATCAGCTAAATCAACTAGCATTACCGTAACTGATATTGATACTATTATCGAAGCCGTAAACGATACAGTAAAGGATAAGGATACTGTTTTCGAAACAGCAAGTAATACAATTAATGATACCAACACTGTTACCGAAACAATAAACGATAAAGTTATTGATAGCAATACTGTTATTGAAACAGTTAGCAATAATGGTACTGTTATTAAAAAAGCGAACAATGCACTTAGCAAGATCGATAATGTTAGCGAAATCAATAATGTTTTTAATACCTTCAGAGATACTGATCATGTTATCGAAACTAATGTTTATATAAAATCGGTTGAAGACATTAACAAAAACAATAAAGTACACAACGAAGCTTTGGAAAATATATCATCAGTAAATCGCAAGAAGTTTGTGATTGTCTCTAAAAGTCCAAGAAGAAACAGCTTAAGAAGATCAGTTAGTTCACTTGACAAAAAACCTGAACAAAATCCTGACAAAAAAAAAAGTCGTATGTCTTATTCTCACAGTTTTAAAATTTCAGAAAATTTTTCTGTCAACGTTTCAGTTCCTTGTAGGTCGGGTAAAATAGTTGGTCCGTTAAACAAGGCATCAGTTAATAATTTATCAAGTTTTGAATCTAATTTAGCAAGTTCAGAACTCACAGATAAACTCTTGCTAACTAAACGCAACATTTTAAAAGATAGTTTGATGGAAAACAAAAATGATTTAAATGTAAAATGTAGTAAAAATACTGAAAATGCAACGAGTTGGTTAACAAAATTGGAAGACATTCCTTGTATTCCAGTAATTGAAAACAAAATTTCTGAAAAAAACAATAAAGTATCTTCTACAATCACAACTTCTAAAAATAACTGTATTGATTCATGTGAACAAGGATCGTTAATCTCTCCGAATAAAATTTTTGAAGACATTACAAAGCGTTATTCATCGGACATATTAGATCAGAAATTGCAAACTGACAGTAAAGGAAAAAGTATAAGGAATTATAAAAGAGATTCTTTTGACATACAGCGACTGTTTGAAATTTATCAAAAGGAAAGAGAGGCATTGATGAAAGAAAGCGACAGCATTAGCGATTTCAGTGAAATATCGTCAATTTCCGATAACAGTTTTGTCTCTTTAAACTCTCTAGAAGATACAATTTTGGATGGTTCTTTCAGATCACTCGAGCAATTTAGTAAAAATCAACCGATTAAATCAACAGAGGAATCACAAACAACATTTGGAGATTTAACAGCTCAAGCACAGACACATAATTCTGGTTTAAAATTTACTCCTAAAACAGAAAATATATACAATTCAAACCTCAGTTCATTTTTGCAAAAGCAAGCAGCATCGGCAGTACAAAGTCGAAGAAAAAATAAAACAAAATCAATACCGTTAGATAAAGTTCTAGACTCTTCGTATACATTTGAAAATATTAACAAAAGCGAACCTAACATAAATTTGCAACATTATCGCGAATGTTTTCCATCAACAAGTCTGACGTTGTCTGAAACGAAAGTTCATGAAATTAAAGCTCCAATAAACTCCACAACTTTATCAACCAAAGTTACATCCGAAAATGATATTAATCTCAAACAATGCAACACATCTAGTATACTCACTAAAAGGAGATTTTTATCTGTAAGCGAAAAAAGACAACACGGCCAACAAGATGCAAACAAAGATCAACTAAAACAAAGCAATTTAAATAGATTAAGTTTTCACACAAGCTTAGACGATGTGAATTTCGAAATTAAAAACCCTTATGCAAAGCTAGATAAAAAAAAAATTTCACAGCAAATTAAAAACAATTTAGAAAAAATATTTACAGACGACCCGGATTCAAGTGGAGCAGAGAGTTTTACTACTGATGATGTATTTCTAAAAAACTTTGTAGATTCTGAAAGAACAGTTATTTGCGGAAACCCACCATGTTCAAAATTTCAGGTTCTTCGAGGGCAGCAAAAATCAAAGTTTAAAACTTGCCAGTCATGTTTTACGTGCTATTGTAGCAACCGTTGTAAAAAAGCGCACTGGGAAGATCATAAACGCATGTGTTTGTACGGACGTATTTGTAAATATATAAAATCCTTTTTAAAACAGTGTGAAAACGGAAAAAAGATTAATAGATATTTTAGTAAATTGTCTGCGGAAAACTATAAAATAAATGGAAAAGGATGCGTGAGTATAAAGTTTTTATCTTTAAATGAAGTGAAGTTTACATGCAAAAAAAATGTTCTACCAACTCAGTATTGTTATGTCCAACTCAAAGAAGTAGAGTCTGATAAACAAAATCGTCAAAACTGTTTACTGCTACAAACGTTGCGCGATTACAACCCTGAAGAAGAGTTTATAGTAAAGATTTCAGTCCTAAATCAAATTAAAAAAAATCAAAGTAAATACAATCCTCCATCCGTATTTCGCTGTGGTCGAATACCATTTTTATTAAAAGGCAAACTAAGTACTCTGTCTGTTAATCGAACATTTTCTATTCCTTTCATAAACTTAGTTCATATTAACACTATGGAGACTCGACGTTATTTTTGTCGCGAAATTTCTATGAGCCTTAAAAGATATGGGTTTATTTTAAAAGATAATCGTGTTGTATACGAAGGTTTATGCCAATATGTTGAGAGTAGTATTCCTTTTCAACCATTCCTAATTTCAAAACTGATAAACGGGAAAAATATTGAGTTTTGTATTACTATATCTCCGTTTTCTTGGCAGTTAAATATCTGATAAACGCTCTTTACACGAGTTTTCCAATTGCCTTAACAAAACTTTGGTTCGTTGATATCGCTTTACTTGAGTCACGTTTCGGCAACGTTTTGGCTTATGAAATACTTAAGCAAAACCTTTTGAAAAGTGGCTTGAAGCTTTAATTTAAAAAATTCAAATGCAAAAGAATGAAAAGATCTTTGAAAGTATTTTTTTAACATTAAACAAGCTTTACGATTTTTTTATTGAGAAAAACCTAATATTTTTCATACAATATTGCTTTAGGTGTGTTTTTTATGATTTGAATTTAAGTTTTCCTATTTTACTTTTACTGTATTAACAATTTTTTTTTGGTTGTTGAGTTACTCAATAAACATCTTAGGGTCTACTCAAAAGCCATTGCGAAATAGCAATTAATAAAGAGGTACGTCGTCGTCTTCTTCATCAGTGTCTTTTTTATGGACATAGGTATCACAACTCGGATCCTTTAATCCAAAGCCAGCATTCTAACCACTGCGTCAGGGCTTCTATAAACCTTTTTGTTAAATACATAGTTAACGCTTGTATAACTATGTATTTAAAATGTCTTCTTTTAAAGTTACTTCTTTTTGAAATCTGGTTTTGTAAGTTTAAAAAAAAAATAGTTAGGGTCGTTTCCACACCTACCGTGAGTCGACACTTATCGTAGGTTTTAAATATTAACATAAATTTTACAAAAAGTAGTTATTTTTATATTTTTTTATCAACAACATTGTCATGCACTTCTATTACAATACATAGAAACCGCAATCCATAGTTACTTATATGAAATCAGTGGGTTTATTACGTCAGCTTATGAAAATACTTTTTTTTATAAGTAGCAGCTGTTAGAAGCGTTTCAAATAAAACAAGGGAATTTCGAAGATAACATAAAATTTTCTTTCTAAATTGACTTAATCAGGTAAATAAAACATGAATCATTATTAATATCATTAAAACCACTCATCATTATAGTATCATTGTAGTGTTTTTGAATGTACGATAAATATGAACTAAAAAAAACGTCATTCCATACATATCGTATGTCCAATGGATAATCAGTTTGTTTCTTTTTTACTATAAAAGTAAATATTATTTTACTTAGATTCTTTTACAATCGAAGACAAAAATATAAAACAAAGTTTGTAGCTCAAAAGGAAGACTTCAATATGCAGATAATCAACTACGTGATGCTACTAATGCTGCTAAAAAAGGTATGGTTGTGTACAAAGCAAGCAAGAGGTTTAGAATTCCTTATCAGACGCTTTGTGATAAAATATCTGGAGGAACTTCTTTGAAGATACAACACCGCGGGTATGAATCGGTACTAGCATTAAATTTTTTTATAATTGATCCTTCTATGGCAAATAATATTAAAAGTGGTTTTAAAAACACCGGAATTTTTCCATTTGGTGCTAATAGTGCTGACTACAAAAAAATTGTTCAAAAATTGAGTCAACTGTTGCTCCGGCTCCTTATTTAAAAGAAAACCATTCAAGTGTGACTTGATCAGCTTCCTCTCCCATTACCTTTATTGAAAAGTGCATTGATTTAAGTATTTTAGAGCAGTTTAAAATGGCTGAGGAACATTTAGGTTGGAAAGGTGATCCTTTAATAACTCCAGTTGTATCATTTTCGGAAAAGAGCCTAATCTGAAACATATAAGATTATAATTTTACCTGATGAAATGCAACCGGGTAATAAAAATCTATCAACAAATTGTAATTTAGAAAATGTGCAAGTTATAACCGACATGGAAATGCCTGATTTTAATAATGCAGCTGTAATAGAACCAAAACCAGCTTGTTTTAGTTTAAAAATAACAGCAGAAATCATAATTCCAATCGAAAGTGTTTTAATATGGTCAACACAACCAGTCCAAATGTCTAAGCGCAAATTAAAACGTCTACCATCAGTTAGATGTTTTCATTCAGATGGTTTCAGATATTACAAACATCGGTTGTAACATCTGAAACTTGGCAGCAAATTCAGAAGACAAAAGTGCAAGAAAAGTCTTAAATAAATGATGAAAAATTAAGAATCAATTAGCTGCGGATAAAAAGTCAAAAATAAAGGAAGAAAGATTGAGAAAGAAACAATTGGCTATTTAGAAAAAGTTATTAAATGAAAAAACTAAAAAAGAAAGAGAAAACATAAGAATTTTGAAAAAAGAAAAAAAAAAGTTGCAAAAGAAAAAGAAAGCCTTTAAACTGAGTCAGAAAACGAGTTCCATTTAAATGTTGATAATAATTATAAAATAAGACTCAGATAGTTATGATAAAACTCTACCCTTTCCAGTTTAAGAACTTAAAGGATATGTACTAAAATAATGGAAATGCTTTAAAATCTTTAGTTTTATTTCGTAATAATATTTTAATTACTATATAATTAATATTTATTTAATAGTCTTTTTTTTTTTAGTTTATACACCTAAAAACGTTTAAGAAAATGTTACTAAGGCATTAAATTTTTATTTGAAACCGCAAGCGCATTTTCAACCAGACATTAAAGCAGATTTTAAGATACACGATAAGTGTCGACAATATATACGATAAGTGTGAAACACTTACGATAAGTATGGAAAACTCCGCTTTAAAATTTGAATCAAAATAAGTACATTATTAATTTAAGGTGGTTATCAGGTAAAAAAATAGCGATTTTTGTGAAAAAATGTGTTTTTTAGTTTATCAGCCAACTTTGTTTAAAATTTAATTGGCTTTTTAACCATATATAACATGATATGGGTTAATTAATAAAAAAATGTAAAAAAATTGTTTTAGTTGGTAAGAGTAAAAAAAATTTACTTAACAACCGCATAGCAACCAATAATTTTTTATAGATATATTACCCAAAGACCTAGATTTAAACAATTATTTCTTTTCATGGGTCTGTATAATTAACTAAACTTTTGAACCAGAGTTATTTTTAGCAAAGCCGTATGTTTTGATGTTATTTGTTAAGCAGAAAGAAAAAAGTTTAAAGTTGTTAAAAAAAGTTTTATTATGGCAAAGAATAAAAGTTTTAAAAATAGAAAAGTTAAACGAGTTTTTCAAGGTAATAGATATACTAAGAAAACAGTTGAGGTTTTTTTGCAACAGCCTTCAGCTGTAATAAATTACAATGATGGTTTGAGAGGTTTCACAAGAATTTTTGATTATTTGCAGCTCTTGCCTGGAAGTTTTATGATCCAAGGATCGTGGAAGAAGGATGTATCAAGAGTAAAGAACACGATTAAAAATTCAACTCCAAAGCAAAAAAGGGCTAGAAGGAAAAGGAGATGTATCAGGAAGGGTTATATTGATAAGGAGAAAGAAAAAGAGGGAGTAGACTCTTATATTACAGGAAATTTTTAATTAATAAATTGTTTTTAAACTTTGAAGCTTGATTTCTTAATTTTTTGTTTTTGCCTGAGTGCAATAAGCGAATCATTCATATCTTTTTAACCAGATATGCAATTGAGTTCAAATTTTCAGGGTTGTTTCTTTATAGATAGAACTGCAATAGCTTACTAGAACTAATCTTAAGCTTGTTTCCATTTGAATATATTCATATTTTACCTTTTTTTTTTGTATCAATAATTTCCGTTAAAATTGAAAAAGCTGCCATTTTAAAAATAATAATTATTTTTAGTTTTTCTAGTAAGCTTTTGTTTAATACACTATAATCTATCAGTGTTGTAAGTTTTGGCTTATAATGTCATAAAGAGGCTGAGAAAATGTTGTTTTCTTTTTTCATTGATTTTTCGCATTTTATGCTGATTCAGCAAAAAAAAAAAGGAAATTATTTTTTTTTTATCATTTTTAATTATATTAATAAGTATGTTTCTTTTAAACTAACTTTGGTATATGATTAAGTTGGCAATCAAAAAATAATTTTTTTACCTGATAACCACCTTAAACTTCAGAGTGAGAATAATTTTAAACTAACCCTTATAGTATTACATTGACGGCTGCAAAAATTCATTTTTAATGCATTTCTACTTTTTGAGTAATCTAAGATATTATAATAACTTTTGTTAAACTCACGGTAAGTGTGGAAACGATCCTAATTGCTTTTTTATATTAAAAAAAAAAAAAAAAAAAAAAAATTGAAAAGTGATTATAATGTAATCAGAAAGTGGAACCTTAGGAAACTTAAGATAAATAGGTAAACTTGCAATGTTTGAAACATAACTTTCCCAAAGTAAAACACTGTATGTAAACCCTAGATTGCCAATAACAAACTTTTAATTGAGCACCAAGTGGTAGTTATAATAGGTGTCAAACTATTATAAAAAAAGAAAAACAACCGGTATTTTTTGTATTCACGTAGACTTCATATTAACACTTGGCTGTAACGAGTGCTGTATTTTTGATATCTATTTAAAAGACTGTATGGAAGCTGTAGTACAGCTCATAAAAGAATTTTAAAGTTTAATTAAAATTATACGATATAATCGTACCCAACTTTAAAGCCTGCTATAGTTCATAAAAGTTACACAGTTGTCCAAAAAGCGGTCCTAACCTCTTCGGAAATGACTCAAAAAATCCTTTGGAGGGGTGATTCTACAGGGAATAGGGATCACTCTAAAGAAAAATTTTTTTAATTACGTCGAAATATGGAATCAAGTACATTTTTGTACTTGATCCCATGCTTCAAGGAGTTGCTTGAAAGTATGGTTGAAGATTCCAAGAAAAAAATGGAGTTCCATTAGAGGAACTACATCAAGAGTAAGCTTAAATTGCCTGTAGACGCTAATTAATGGAGGATGGACAACAGTTACACAATTCTTAGTTGATTAAAGTTTTGCGCCCGAAGAGAGAAACCCAGCATAGCTGTTGCATAAAGAAGTAAATGTTCTTCATTGGCCAGAGATTGTAAGGTTGTTAGACTTGAGATTACACCAACAACATGGGTGTTTGCTAATGTGAGACTGGAAGATGTGATGTAATTCCTTTTACTGAGTGAATATGATTGATTAAGGCATTCAAGTTCTTGCAGTGAACAACTTTTCAAACTTGGTTTTTCATTTCTTTGTTCAGAATGAAAACCCTCGATATCATGAAAAAATCTGCTAATTTTTTCCAGAGGTTGTCAAGTTTTTGCTTCACGTTTGCTTACAGCTCTTTTTTCCATTTGGTTTGTTTAAAGCTGATGCAAGCCTTTTCACAGAAACATTTAAAAGATTGGTATTGTTTTGAACTTCAATCAATGTTTCAGCAGTAAATAGTTGCTGCTGTATATGTATGTATATATATATATATATATATATATATATATATATATATATATATATATATATATATATATATATATATATATATATATATATATATATATATATATGTATATATATATATATATATATATATATATATATATATATATATATATACATACATACACACATTTATACACATATATATATACACATACATGCACACATACATATACACATACATACATAAACACATACACAATATACATGCACATACATATATATATATATATATATATATATATATATATATATATATATATATATATATATATATATATATATATATATATATATATATATATATATATATATATATATATATATATATATATATATATATATATATATATATATATAAGTTAAGAAAAAAGATTTCATATATATAAATTACGATAAAAAGATTTCTTAAGAGTATTAATATAAAACAAAACAAATTTAAAAATATATAAGAATGTTTTCAATTGAGAAAAGAATTTTTTTCAACTTTCTTTTAAATAAGAGAAAGCTTCATTCTTGAGAAAAATCAAAAAGTTTTTATACTACTTTGTTCCATAAAAGCCATAATATTTGCTCCTCTAAATGAAATGCAAAACTTACCAAAATTAGTTTTGAAAACTGGTTGAAGAATAAAATTTTCATAACGCAAATTGTATTTATTTTTAACTTTTAAAGAATATAAATTGTGAAGAGAAATTGGAGATGTGCGTGTTTTACATTTAAACATAAAACACAATACATTAAAAATATTAAGTTGATATATATTAAAAATATTCATTTCGTTTAAAAGAAGCTTAGCATGATAAAAACGATTTTTAAAATTAATAAGTCGTGCAACACGTTTCTGTTGGCGATAAATATAAGACAAAATCTATAATACAAAATATCTATAATACAAAAGTGTGGATATCCTTTCGCAAGTACTGACAAACAAATACTGCATCTTTTTTCAGCTGGCTGTGATAATGAAGGTTTGGGACTGAAAGCTTTGATACGGTCAGTTTCAGGGTAGACTTGTTTTTTGATTCAATATATCAAGCTCAATTTGTGGCAGAATTTCTTTGAGCTTTGATTTGGCCACCCTACAAATTATACACTGGCAAGCACTAAAATACCTTGTACTTTGGCACTAGAATACCTTTGCTTAATGATTATCGAATTGAAATTGTACAAGTCTGGTATATGTCCAATAATACTAACAGTATCAAGTCGTTATAGTTTGCTTCTACATAAATTGTAAATGCCAGTTGGAATTTTCTCATCATTGAAATTAATATTACATGTTAAAATATTCTTGACTCTTTTAATCAAAAAATCAGTTAATATGCGATCACTTTGCTTTAAATACAAAAAGCAAGCTTATTAGTAATTACGATTCAATACAAAATATTATTGAATCAATTGACAGGGATATTTTATTTCCTAATTTATAAATATCGCACTGTTTGCGAGTATTTTATTCCCAGGATTAATAAAATAAAGATATAATCCTTAGGTTGTTCCTCATTTTATAAACCAAATCCAAACAAAAAAATCCGTTTCGAGTATCAATTTCTCTACTAAATGGAAGAGTAATGATCTAAATTACAATAGTTTTAATTGTTCAGTAAAATACTTAAAGCAAAAAGAGCACATGAAAGAGAAATATCAAAATCTCAGAACATCCCGATACTCGTTTATAAATATATTAACAAACAAGTAAAAATGAAAGATTTTCAAAGGTACGTAAGGCAGAATTATTAAAGCTCTTATATAAATTATATAAATTCTCAATGCGCGTATCATTAGTATTATGCTTACGTCGTCTAACACTAATGATACGCGCCCAAAAGCTTTGGAAATTCCACTAACAAAAATCTTTCATAAATCCTTTGGAATAGTGAATCTCTGGAAATGAGTGAGGATTGGTACGTTCTATAAAAAAAGGAGATAAATTACTTGCTAAAAACTATCAACCTATTTCACTCTGTTGCCTGTAAAATCTTCAAAAAACATGTGAAGAACAAAATCTTAAGGCACATTAACGATAATAACATGCTCTCTGCAAATCAACATGGCTTCCTTTATCATAAATTAGGCGTAACTAATCTAATAGAAACTTATAATATTATTGCGTCTTTCAAAGCATCTCACTAGTTTATTTATGTAATCTTGATTCCGATAAAGTTTTTGAATCTCTAAAGCCTAACTACTGAGATAAGTTACGAGATTTAGTAAACTGAAAATAATGAAGCTTAGCATCTGATAGCATCTTTTACATCGATTTCTTGCAATAATAAATAGAAGTTTGTTCTCGAAAGAGTTGTTCTTTTGAAAAAAATAATTACGATTAGATAGCTCTATAACTCTATTATTTTTTTCTAGTAACTCACAACTTAATAGTGGTTTCTTGCAGCTTTGTTTTGAGTGGGTCAGAATTAAAAAATAAAAAAAAAAACTAAATATTACCAATATGGCTATAGCAACTCCATTTATTTATATCTTACATATTTATTATATCTATTTTTATATCTTACATATATTTATTATACCTATTTTTATATCTTACATATATTTATATGTAAGATATAAAATATCTTACATATACCTATTTTTATATCTTTGTATTTGAATTATATCTATGTATTTGAATTTTATTTATTTAAGCATTTGAATACCTCAAAGCAGACTTATGCTCAGCTTAGGATCTTATGAAATAAACTCCTACAAAATGAATTGATTTGATTTTAGTAAACAGAAAACAATGCATTGCAATTAAAAATCCAGCTCTGTTCGAGTTGGTATTCTCAATGGTGTGCCTCAAGGTTCTGCTCTCGGTCTGTTCCTCGTCATTTTCTACATAAATGTAAAAAATGAAGAGGAACGGTTTTAGAAAAAAAGTTTAGAATAATTGTAGAAAATGAAAATGTTTACAATTATATTAAACAAAAAAGTTTAACATAACTGTAGAAAATGAAAAGTTTAATAAATGTAGAAAATGAAAGTTTTCTACAATAATTAATCATGCAAAACTTACTGAAATTTCTGAGATGTTTGCCAATTATATTAAACTTTTTTCTAAAACCTTATCACAGACAAATCTAGTTGAACTGCAGGATTGTCTACGCTTGGTTTCTTAAGTT